TACCTTCCAAGGGGGCTGTTTTGTGCTATCTGTGATGATGTCACCAGCAGCCAATCAACACATAGCACTGCTAGAGGTAGTGCGTGTGCAGATGTGTGTGTGTGTGTGTGTGTTAGCGAGGGGATGGGGGTGGGGTTGCAGAGGTGTGGGGTGCACCAATAGGAAAATCACACTCGCTCAGTTATTAGCCAGTTCTTCCAGCAAGCATGAGAACACACATCAAACCACGAATCCACAGGCTGCTTCTGATACACACTGACTGCCTCTCAGCCGTGCTGTATAAAGATACTCTGCATGTAGCACATGAATGTGTTATTTAATGCATTCTATGGGAAATGAAAGGCCTGGTAATAAATCACTCAATGAGATACCCCACGCTGTTTAGGGAAGCCTAGCTCTCCTCATATTTGTTGATTTACATTTCACTTTGTGTTTTTTATGTCATTAGTCTGACAGTAACGATTAGGTCTAATTATATGATAAATATCATCTGTTCAGTGCTAAACTTACACAATTAATTGCTTTTCGTAGTGACCTCAGTTCAAGGTGACTGTGGAAGCTTTGCGTGCTTCCCTCCCCCAGCCTTAATATGCATTTGAAAGCTCGGGCTGTTGGGTGAAGACTTAATTTGGGTTAACGCTGTTGAGAATTTATAGCTGGTCTTGAATGGGTATTCAATTACTAGATCAATGTGATTTGTTTTGGTGTGTTGCACAACAAACACACTTATTGGTAACTGCAAACTAGAGAGGTCTTCAGTCTGCTGATGGGGCTGAAGCAGAAAGCATCCTTTTAATATTAATATTATTTAATATTGTTTTAATAAACCTTTTCTTTACTGCACTCGGCACCACTGTCGAAGGAGAGGTGGGCTCATGTGGTATCACTCTGCTTCAGTGTCCATCATGACATCTTTCTCCCCCCAAAGAAAGCAACAGAAGCTCAAACTTTTTTGCCAACGTGTCCTTTTCCACATTATTCCACATTGTGCTGCATTGAACAGCTTTGTGGAAATATTTATTTCTTCATTATTTTATTTTTAGCCTGGAAATACAGCTCGCTCTCTGCTTGTTTCCACTAACAGTACTTACACTTCATGATAAATACTCAGCACCTCTGCATGAAACACATTGGTGAATGGTTTCAGGTAAATATGATAAAGCACAGGGCAGCACAGTGGTTAGCACTGTTGCCTCACAGAAAGAGGGTTCTGAGTTCAATTCCACCATCTGGCCAGCAGGGTCTTTCTGTGTGGCGTTTGCATGTTCTCCCCGTGTATGCGTGGGTTCCCTCCGGGTACTCCGGCTTCCTCCCACCATCCAAAAACATGCAGCTTGTGGGGATAGGTTAACTGAAAAATCTAAATTGCCCATACGTATGAATGCACAATCTTTTTTTCCAACAATATCTTTATTATTTTTACATTTTAATGACTTACAAACAGTCCAACATTCTAGATACTACATGAACATACACTCCTCTCAGACAGCAAAAAGAAAACGTCGTCAGATTTATCACTCCATTAAAGGCCTAAATTTGTCATTATCCCAAATCAAATGTCATTGACCTCAGTCCTCGTCCTCCTCAGATAATACAAATCCTTCACAAAATTCACAAATGGTCTCCACACCTTCTCAAAAACATCCAATTTCCTTTTCAGGATACATGTTATCCGCTCCAACGGCAAAGCCACCATCATTTGTTTTATCCACTGTGTGATACTCAGTTCCCTTGTTTTTTTCCATTTTAGTGCAATTAATCTTTTTGCTTGTAACAAACCCATATCAATAAACATTCTGTCACTTTTTGTGCACCTCATGTTTTCTGGGTACAATCCCAGAATAAGGAAGCCAGGATCCAAAAAACCTCCTTGGATAATATTTGTTTCATAGTTTGTGTATGAATGCACAATTTAGAGTGAATGTGAGTGCGAATGGTTGTCCCTCCCTGTGTGTTTGCCCTGCGACAGACTGTCCAGGGTGTACCCCGCCTCTCGCCCTATGACAGCTGGGATAGGCTGCAGCACCCCCTGCTACCCTGAAAAGGATAAGCGGAAGCGAATAGATGGATGATAAAGCACAGTTATAATCAGTTGTAATCTTTGGTATTTACAACATATAGAGAGTCTTTACTATAGTCCTTTGTAGGACTACTTTTAAATTAACTAAAAAATGAATAGTGCTGGTGTGGGACCAGGTTGAGCTTTAGGTTGAGTATATCCACTCACCGAATCACTGGTTTCTAAATATTTCAGCAGTTGATGCTTCAGCTCACAGTAATAACAGTGACTGCATTTTTTTTTATCAGTGTCTGAAAATGTTTTTGCTGACTCACATTTGTAGTAGGTCTTTCTACAGAATACAGTACTAACACTAGTGAGCTGTCCCTTGATTATTTGTACATAGTAGATAAAATCCTGTTGGCTCACATTGCCTTCCACTGTTTAATTTCAATAATTAGAAGCGCTACGGGCAGCAGGCTATCAACTGTGCGCAGTAGATTGTGTTTGCTTGCCTGGCTTCCTTAGTGGCCACAGAGGAATGAGCAGTGAGTACATCTGATTAGCTGTATTGACTGGTAAAATGCTACCTCACCGGGTTTCCGCTCATAAAACCAAGCTACATGGTAATTAGCCTGGGATCAATGTGAGCGCCGGTCCTGAGTGAACAGAGCGAATGCGTAAAGAAAAACCTTAAAGGACCGGGCATTATCGAGCATCAGGGACATTACTGTCACATCACCTCTTTCATGTTTTTGTCTGTTTCTGTCAGTTGAAAAAGATTCTCACAAGATAAATCACATTCATGTGTCTGAAAGCGCTGTTAATCTCGCTGTTATCAACCGCCCAGTGGCCTTGGTTGTGTATTGGATTTGTCACCGGTGGTCTTTGCATCTCGAGTGATGGAATTTTTTAGCTAAGCCCTGGTTTGTGTTATCACACAAAAACACTCACTTCCTGGGTGGAACTCGGTTTCTAAACAGCTTTTTGCTATATTTCCTGCTAATCTCAACCATCTCTGCTGTGGCGTTTCTGTTAAACCACTGAAATGAGCTTAGCAGGCACCTTTGTTGTTTACTTCAAACTGGCTGATGTCACGATAGCCTCCAGATGGAGAACTTTATCAAATGAGCTGGTTGAGACGGATCATCACTAGCCTATTATGGAGCGGAGCAACAATTATTATTATTTTATTTTTTATAAAAGGATCAGTTGTATTAGAACCAAAACAGGACCATTCAAAATAACAGAAAACTAGAGTTAAGCACAGAACATATGGGGAAAAAATACTACTATAAACAACTATATCAAGGAACAATGTTGATAGCAGAAAAAAACTAAAGTCTAATAGATACTACTAGAGCCATGACAGCTACTGAGCATCTAACTGCCCTGGCTGCCTGAGCTGCAACACTTGCATATGTTTTGGGCTGTTACATTGTTGTGACAAACAGTGTGCAGGTAGACTGTGTTTTATAGATGATCTGGGGCCTGTACTATGAAGAAAGCTCAGTATATCTGGCTACAGGGCAAGTATGAGGAGTTAAAGACAGAGATTCAAAAGAGTGTTTAATAAACTGAAAAACAAGAAGGTATATAAAAGGCTACAATAACTAAACAACTGAAATACATACAGCCTGACCTGTTGTTTTAGAGACAAGTGTAGAAATCTTTGTTGATTTATATGCCAACAGCTATCACATGGACATGTTAATATCCATCTTGGAACCTATCAATGGTGCCATAGTGGAGAAAGGCAGGGTACACCCTAGACCGGCGGTCCCCAACCCCCTCGGTACCGGTCCGTGAGTCTTTTGGTACCGGGCCGCGAGAGTTGAAGCCCAGGTGTGAAATGTATGGTTTTCAGGGTTTTATCGGTTTTCAGCGTTATTTTGTTATCGTTTTTATCGTTTACTCGGTTTTCCTGGGTCTTTTCACGTGTGTTATGAATAAATCTTCTTTTTTTCGGTACCGGTACTAGTTTTATTTTGTTGTATTTATCCGCGACACCTTAAAGGCCGGTCCGTGAAAATATTTTCGGGCATAAACCAGTCCGTGGCGCAAAAAGGTTGGAGACCGCTGCCCTAGACCAGCGGTCCCCAAATTTTTTGCCCCACTGACCGGTTTGATGTCAGGCAACATTTTCACGGACCGGCCTTTAAGGTGTCGCGGATAAATACAACAAAATAAAATGATACAACAAGACAAAAACTGTGGTACTTTGTAAATATAATAATAAATTCTGTAATATACTTACATATCTATATTATTGCTAATATATATTGTAATATATCTATATCATGGCTAAAGCAATTCTGGATGGATGCAAACTGCATTTCGTTGTCCTGTACCTGTGACATGTGCAATGACAATAAAGTTGAATTCTATTCTATTCTAATTCTATTCTATTCTAAATGCGACTTTACTGTGTAATCGTGTAACTTTATTAGCAGCGTCCTCCTGAAATGCGCCAACAACATTGAGAGTAACGTCCTCCTCTCTGCCCCTTAATGCTCTCTGATCGCTATGGTAACATGTAAATATTTCTTTCAAAATAAGAGATACGTTGTACAACACGGGAAAAGCCCCAGGGAAACCGAGTTAACAATAAAAACCCTGAAAACCATAAACTTCAGACCTGAGCCTCAACTCTCACGGCCCGGTACCAAACGACTCACGGACCATTACAGATCCGTGGCCCGGGGGTTGGGGACCGCTGCCCTAGACAGTTCACTAGTCTGTTGCAGAGCTAACACAGAGACAGCCAACCATTCACACCTTTGGACAATTTAGAATCACCAGGTAACGCGACTCCACTAAGGGCATTTCCTTGTACTGTGGGAGGAGGCTGTAGTACCCATGCAGACACAGGGAAAACATACAAACTCCACATATAAAAAGTTCTCAGATGGTGGATTTAATTCCAAAGTGGAACTTTACAGTCTGTCTGTGTGTAAGCTGGATTCTTACCTGTAACTGTTACCTGTTACTGTTTCCACAGGTGCCCACGGAGTGCGAGAGGAGCCCCAGTTTGTGACAGCACGTGCAGGAGAAAACGTCATCCTGGGATGCGACGTTTCCCATCCCTTGAACGGCCAGCCCTATGTGGTGGAGTGGTTCAAGTATGGAATGCCCATCCCTTTCTTCATCAACTTTCGCTTCTACCCTCCTCATGTGGACCCGGAATATGCTGGTAAGATAGTGATTACAGTGAAATTGAGACATCAGTAAGTTGACACCAAGCTAAATCCAGGATTTCACTGACCTGAATGGGTTTACATTTGTTTGATGTTTGGCCACAGACATAAGTTGAATGAGAGGTGAGAGGGATTCTCCCTTGCTTCTGTTTGATTTCATTCCTCTGATCATTACATTGCAGAAATAATTCCCCCTCGTTTGACTTAAATCATTCATCCATTTATCTCATATATGATTAAATGGGAGTTTTCCAAGCTGAGAAGGAGTCGGCAGCCATGAATATTTTGGGAACTATAAATATAAATAAATTCTCTGTATCTATGAAGCGCCTTGAGGCGACTTTTGTTGTGATTTGGCGCTATATAAATAAAATTGAATTGGATTGTATTGAAGTAAACTTAATGGGATAAATTAGGAATTATGTTGTGTTTCTTACAAAACACAAAAAGGGGGAGAACTGTCATGAAATCAATATCCTTAGTATCCTTATTTTCCTATTATATTGTTTTATGTACTTTAATAAAGGCTTGTAGAGCAAGGCCACTTTTAACTCACAAACTAAGTGCTCAGCCAGACTGAAAAACAGGAAGTTTTAGTGCACAGTCATATTAATAGATAAGACACTGAAATGAGGAACTTGCCATATAAGCAATGTTTGAGACTGTGTGACGTGTAAAGTACCAAAATAAAACCTATATGAACCACAGTTTATGATTCTAATGTTAGAGCTCTTGCAACTGGCGTTTGAGCTGTGCAGAGGTCTCTCTCTTCCGGAAGATGAATGAATAAAAGAAATATCAATATTTTAACACACTATGAGTCGGTTTTCTCTGTTCTGTCATGGGGACAAAAGAATCGGGGTTTAATAATTTCCACTTTTTTAGATAGTTATCTCATAAAGTTAGCTCAGTGTTTTGTTCTAGAACACAGACAGTTGTACGTAGGCTACGTGAGAAAAAACTGACATTGTGATCTGAGCAATGTGTAAACTAATTACGAAAGGAGGCAGTTAGTGCTGACGTTAGCTAAAATCGTAGTGGTTTCTTTCATTTAGACTACCTGATTATTCCAAATTGAAATTTCTGTGTAAAGGGAAATTAACTAAATAAAATGAAGCTTTGCAACATGTCAAGTAAACACTTGTATTATTGGAAGTTTTCTGAAACTTTTCAACTGCAACTCTCCTGACTTTGTAACAGAATTTAATGTTACATCTATTTAAGTCCCGTGAACATGAAGAGAATTTGTAACCTTTTAAAACCAGCTCTGGTGACAGTTTTGGTGATGTGGCCTGATTTGGTACAAGTACCTCCAGGGAGTAAAGGGTTTAATAATAACTATATGTTTTTCAATGATTATACAGGTCTGCAAAAAAAAAAAATTTTTTTTGCAAAACATGAGGAGTTTACATTAAAAAAGCACAACACCGATAAAAAAAATTAATATTTTATTACAATTAACCATGCATAATCTTTCTTATAATTGAACAAAGAAACAAAAAACAATTCCTTCATGATATATTTAATACTACATGTTCACTCTTTTTGTCTGTGAAAACTTTTCTTCTTCTCTCCTCCTTTCGCTTTATTTCCTTTGAGTCTCACACTTAGAAATATTAAATTAATCATTATTGGATACGGTTTTTTGACTCAAGTATAGGATACCAGATTTCAGTTTAAAAGGGGAAATTGTACGCTTAATTAAACTAAAAACCTGAGTTTTGCAAGAAAATCTGACGTGATGGAATTTTAAAAATATTTTTCTCGATTTCAGTGAAACAGTCAAAAACTCCTATGCAGTTTTTTGGTTGCAGACCTATGCTATTCACATGTAGTTGTTACCACGAGTATGTTAGAGCTCCACAGAGCCCCTTGTCCCCCTGTGTCCCCCTGTGTCCCCCTGTGTCCACAGTAGAGTGTGCATGAGTGTCTCCAACAATGTATTGTTTGTGAAAAACAGTCAAATCGATTAAAAACATGTTTAATATAATGACAAACTATTCAATTCAATTCAATTCAAT